TTTTTTTTTTTTTTTTTTACAGCTAGGCTGTGAAAAAAACACTTCCAGTTACGCGTTCTCTACTCTCTCTGTTGGCATTATCCATTATATATATAATGAATTCATCTAGTACGTTCATCTCAAGTAGCCATTCAGATCCAGAGTTTTCGTAGTTCAGAACATAAAATCAGGCTAACAGATTTGTAAAATAAAGTGTCTGTTTGTTTATTCAGAAATGTCATTTTGCTTGCTTTGTGTCATGTCAATGATTTCATCTTTCGGGTGCTTGGTTACGTCTGCATTAATCTACTAAGCCTTTGTAACAGTCACCGTGAAGCATGATTAGATTTTTTGAAAAAAATTTTCGCAAGATTTAAAAATTACAGGCGAAGAACAGGTATGAAGGAATTGGATATCCTGAAAAAGCTGAATGAAGCGGATCGAGATGATCGTTATCATTGTCTTCAATTATATCGACATTTCTATCATCATCAGCATCTGTGTTTGGTGTTTGAATCTCTCAGGTCTCCTGTCTGTATTTATCTTTAATATCTTGAATATGGCTTTCTCTTTTTGTAAATTGTTTGTCCATTCTTTTCAGTATGAATTTGCGAGAACTTTTAAAAAAGTATGGCAATAGTGTCGGTTTACACATGAAAGCAGTTCGCAGTTATACGCAGCAGCTTCTCATGGCACTTCGATTGCTCAAAAAATGTAACATTCTTCATGCTGATATCAAACCAGATAATATTCTTGTAAGTTTAATAAAGCTTGCTGAATCAAATGGTGATAAAATGATTTTGTAGTCAAACTTTACAGTCTGTGATATGTTAGAATTCTCATGAAACTTAGTTTTCATCTGTATACTAACCATTTTTCATATTCTCTTGTTAACTGCTTATAACATTGTAATATATATCATGATTTTGTTGATCACTTGCATATATTAAAAGTATATTAAATTATACACCAACTTTAAAATTTCATTTTATAATTTTCACTGATTTAAATTACATAGTTTTTGCCATTTTCTCAAATCAAAGTTTTTTAGGTAAACGATACTAAAATGACGCTAAAATTGTGTGATTTTGGTTCAGGCTGTCATGTTGTTGATGCAGAAGTAGCACCGTATCTAGTATCTCGCTTTTACCGCGCTCCTGAAATAAGTATGCTCATATCTATAAATCACATTGATTCCGTATTTTGCTTGTGAAGTTATATATTCTTCGTGCTCGTTAATCAAAATTGTTTTCACGTAATTGTTCAGATTTTTAAAATCACTTTCAAATAATTTTGTACCGTTTTTAGAATAAGCGTAATTAATTTATTCAGTGCTTGGTTTACCCTATGATTTTGGCATCGATTTGTGGTCAGTAGCTGTAACTCTTTATGAAGTATACACAGGGAAAATTATGTTTGCCGGGAAGTCAAATAATCAAATGCTTAAATTCATGATGGATTTGAAAGGAAAGTTCCCAAATAAAATGGTGAGGAAGGCTCAATTCAAGGATCAGCATTTTGATCAGAACTGCAATTTCTTATATCACGAAATTGATAGAGTGACTCAGCGTGATAAGGTTCGTTTTTTCTTTATCCCAAGTTCATTATCAGTTAATGTCCTGAGTCAGTTTTACAGCGCTTGAACTTGTACTTAATTTTTCTGGCTTGTTTGTATTTGAGTTCGTAACAAAATTTATTTTATATGGCTTTGTCTCTTTTCTATGACATTCTATTTTAGTTATTATGAATCTTCATCTCGCGTTACAAAACAGTTTGAAATTATTGGGTTTTTTCTGAGTTTTCGAATTTTCCAGATTACAACAATGTCTGTTGTGAAGGTCACACGAAACTTAGAAAGTGAACTTTTGGGGGATCAAGAACTTGACAAGGTATGGTATAATATTCTTGATTTTGTTGTTGAATTCAGCTATAATTTTCATGTTACATTCGAATTATCCTTTCATAGGGAAAAATGATTGAGTTTAGGATGGTTTGCGAAAACTTGAACAGTTTCGCTTGTTGTTAGATGCGATGATTACTTTGGACAACTCGAAGCGCATAACATGTGGTGAGGCGCTCAAACATGCATTTGTGGTAGAAAAATGAACTTTATTTTAGAACAAGTGATATTTCAAGCGCGTTCTTCCACTATCACATTACAGTTTTCAATTTTATCGTTTTAACCTTGGATTAGCTTCTTCTGAAGCTTCATAGGTTGTTTGACATCCATTCCAAACTGATTTTAGTGCATGTCATAGATTTTAATTTGCTGAATATATTGGCCATTTCGATTTCAATATGTCACTGTACTGTATAGCAGTGTGATGAAATGTATCAGTGTTCTGTCCATTTATTACGCATACCTCAGATAATGAAGAATTTACCAGATTAACCATGCCAGCAAACTGTCTAAGGGTTAGTCCAGTTGTCTGATGAAATAATATATCTTATTGAGAAAATGTATTTCTTGACCGTTTTGTGAAAAGTTCCTCCTTAAGAAAGCGATGAGTATTAGTACTATTGCTCTTACTTCACAACTTTTGTAATTCGGCATTTAACCATGCTTTACGTATTTACGAAGAACTGTTATTTTACAAAACAGGCAAAACACTGATAACTCAGTAGTTTTGCTTGTAAAATGATTACGGCCTAGCTTCCAAATTTGCAAATAAGGAAAATATATATATATCATTTCAGTTCTCTTTATACCGGCACATTTGAAATTCTCGGGATGGATCTCAGGTATTCTTAAGTGTTGCGAACAAATCGTGTTCGAGTTAAATGTCCCATAACTAGGCTGAAACGTTAAATCTCCGAATGTAACAGGTTCACCGTTAAAGTCAAATTCTTTCTTCCCTTCAGAAATTTGGTGTAATGGTCATCTATATCTATATAGCACATGTATTTCGTGTTTGTGTCTACGTCAATTAATGTTTTAATGTCTATTATTATCGTAGAAAAGTTTACAATTTTTTAACATGGTACACCTTAAAGTTCTCTCACAATTGTATAGAATATAAAACGAAACTAAAAAAATCATGTAGTTACGAACATTGTTGTCTATAACAGAAATCATGTTGTTTTAGCAGCTTTGTCTTAATTCTTTAACATGGGTGTTTTGTTCGCCTTAAATGGTAAAGTGGGATTTGCAATTCTTACAGTTAATTCATTCTCGAAATGAAAATTTTCTGGCCCAAGAGGCTGGCTCATTTAGGTTCTTACTATCCAGAAATGATGCCATTTGAAGGCCAGATCTTTCAAATTTAACTTTGTCACGGCTCTATACGTAAGTGCTAATGCGTGTTTGTGAGTTTTTGTGGGCATAAGCATGAACGAAGTAGGTAAGTATGTATATCTGCTACTAAATTTTCTGGACGCGTTCGAGGCGGATGAAAGTGAATGACAGTTTAAATTTCGAAATCTTCATTACATATACACATAGCTATTTAGCTATCAGAAAGCAGGAAACCATCTAATATCACATATGTGATTGAATATTCATGTCACTAAGTGATTAACGTTACGACTGTCGCCATGCGTGAAGTGAGTATTAACAAAGCGTTGTCCGCAATAACCACAAGCATGGTTGCCGGGCTTGTCCTGAAACACTTTTCTTTAATGAGAAGTGTTTTCCTCTTACACCTCTATGTTTTCCCCCGAGACGCTCAAAGGGCCAAATTGTCTGAGACAGAAAGTCGATAATATTCGTCTAAAAAACCATGCTAATTTCAGTCTTTCTATATGTTAAAAAAATTAAGTAAGCAAGTTCTTGCAAGTCTAACGTAATTTATAAAAATAAGCGTCCTGAGTGTTCAACCTCTGGTTCTGACGGGCACTTATTTATTTGAGACAGGGTTTGCAAGATTATCGTGGTTTTAGGGGTGGATTTGTGAGTGTACCTCTTATTGTGCGGTTGCAGGGCACATAAAATATATTTATTGAGACTTGGGAAGGGACCGTTCTAGTACTGTGCCGCTAGGTTAATTATTACTACTATTGCAAGGTAATTTGGGCAAGGAAAAAATTTGCAACCAGTTTAATGTATATACGCGGATGACCCAATGCTGGATGTCCGCCGTCACAAAATACGGTACGTTCGTCTGTTTCTATTGGCGGAACTTCTGCAATCAGTTTTTGTGCAATATTTGGATTAATTTGCTTTGGCATTATTGTGAATCTTGCACGTCGATAATCGGCTTGATCCCAAGCCTGTAACAGTAGAGATTAAATTCTAGAAACAACAAACGTTTACTATACTAGCTACGTATGGAACATTTTTAAAGAAATGAGTGGTGCAGGATATAATGGTAACTCACTGATATGTTAGTTCCAAAAGCAGCATAGAACAAACTGTAATGATCTTAAAAAGTTCAGCCGTGACCTTAACTGCTAACCTGTCCTGTATGAGTTACTTGATCGTATACAGCATTCTGTGGTGTAATATCTTTCGGTGCCAAAATATTCGATTCTGCACGATAAACGTGCGTAAATAAACGTAATAGTCTTCGACTAATAATTGTCATGCAAATGACTGCGTCTAAAAAGTTTCAACTTTATTGGACAAGATTTCTCTTGCACTCATCAATCAAATTAGCAATGCAACATTACAATAACAAAAAAAAACAACAAACCACCACATATACTACGATCAAAATGAACAACTTATTCTATACAAAATTCTCTATCTAAGAATTAGATAAAAATACGGCCTTGTTGTGCAATTTTTAGTACCAAAACTTTCATTATTTTTTCAGACTAATGATATTTAAACTAAACTTGCAGAGGAGATTTTCGCTTTCAGTTTTGGAACTATCCTTTTTAAATAAAATGAATTTGTTTTATTTTTGTTTTTCAAAGTTTACTTTGATCATAATCTCAATCTCACAATATAGCTGAAGTTGAGCTGAAAAAATTGCATAGAGTGGAAAAGTTATTGCTTTGCAGTTGCTTGATCACTCACATTTGCATTGAAACAATGCTTTCGATTATTTTGTCATATGACAAAATGTGACATCTTTAATAAGAGATTAACTCTGCTTAGAGTGAAAAATTTATTTTCATTAAAGGTTAAAATTGTTTTTTATTCCGTAAGCTATTACTACATATAATATTGTTAGTTAACTACTTTATTTAGTTCACTAACTTTTGACGTAAATCTTTTATAAGCAAGCTTCGTTTTCAATTCATTTCCGTTAGGTTTCAAATTTATGCTTCATAATTTTGCCTTATCATTTAGACCTAAATTTAAATTTTATGAAAATCTTTTCTAATAACATTTTCACTGAAATATGAAAGGTTTTTGTAATATTTTTTTACTTAGTTTATACATTTTTAAAATATATCAGTAATAGTTCTTGTAGGCACAAAAAATTATCCAAACTTTTCTTTCACAGATAAATTACTTTTACTTTTATATATATAAAGATAATCCATTGCACATATTTGTATTAGCAAAGAAAAAAGATGTAAATTTCAAAAATAATTAGCAACACAATTTAGAAATGACAATTATTTGAGTGGCAAATTACTAAAAATATTCTCATTGCAAGCAGAGTTTGAAATAAAAATTTTGGACAAAAATGTGACAAATTGTAAACGATGTCATTTTTGTCACTTTATTTTATTTCAATAATCGAACTAATAAATTACTTTCTTATATAATTATTTAGAAAATGTAGTAAGTAAAAAACAAAGAGAATCATGCATTATGCCACAAAATATCTTAAAAAACAATAGCAAGTAAAAATTACACTTAAACCAAGTAAATAAAAAATAATTGTAAACTTTTTAATACTTTAATTTGGATAATAAACTTTAACACTAAATATAAATGGCCAGAACTTGCCTTGCAGTATAAAATCTACTGAGACTATTCGAGAAAAAAAAAATGAATATATTGAGATAATTTGAAACTTTTTTGATCATTGCATTATATTGTCACAATCTAATTCAATTTTTTGGATTTAAAGAACATGCAAAAAATACAAAAATGGGGCAAATCTCTTAAAAAACATCGAAATTCTATTTTCACCTCAGATTTATTGGTTTGTGTAAACTGATCGTTCAAAAATATCTGCTTCAGAGATTGATCATTACTGTAACCATATAAAGTCAGTTTAAATATTTTCACATACTTCACATATTATTAGCTGTTTCAATTCAAATACAATAAATATCAATGAATTAAATTCAGGATAATTCATCTCTGGATGAACTTTCAATCAATTTGACATTTTTTTGTGTGATTTTCAACTCAGATTCACTTTCATCCGTTGGCTGATCAGAATTAGTGATGTGACCTCCTACTGCGTTCAACAGATCTTCACTAAGTGAATCTTCAACTTTGTCACTCGAAACAGCAATAAAGTTTGATTTCTGTGGGATTTTCTTTTTCTGCTGCGTATTATGCGTAATATCAGATAAGGATTTTGTAGATTCAGTCATCTCAAGAGAACTTTGTGATTTCTTTTCCTGAAAATTTGCCTGACAATTTGCTTTTTAATGGAGTAAAAAATTAGTAAAAGATAACTTTTGTAAGCAAGAGCGTTGTAAAAATGAAAATCATTGATAATAGTAATGTGCTCTTTCAATATCTGTAAATCATTTGAAAAGAGTACAACAAACTTTCGATTAATTATTTTAAAATGTCAAGAACTAGAATTATCAGTTAGTAGCATATTACTGTACTGCAGATTATTCAAACGTCAAGTATTAACCTGAGTTTTATCAGCCAGTTTTTCGAATTCCAAAATTCTTTTTGCTACAAATTTGCCTTCATGAAAACTTTCAATTTGTGGAATTGCGTATTTTGTCGTAAATTCCGTTTTGTCTTCTGACGTATTGTTTTCTACGTTTGCTGACATTAAAGAAATATGAGGCAAACTGATCAAATAAAACTATAATTAATTACAAAATTATATCTTACTCATAACTAATTAGTCAATTATTTACCAGATTCTGAGCGTGAATTGTAAATAAATTAATTTTCACTTTATGATTTTACTCATCAAAAATAAAATAAAAACGTCTGTCAAAATTTGTATGTTAAACTAACCATTTTTGCGCTTTATGAGTAGTTGTTCAATAATTTTTGTTTGATTATCGCGTGTAGAATATTGAGAATTTGGAAAATATCTATGTTTTAGAGTTATAAATACGCCGAATCCTAACGTTGTAATGCCAATTACCATCACAAAAACAGCAAAGCATACTGCGGCTAATGCATAAATTGATGCCATTTTTCCTTTATGAATTTCATTTTATTAATATTTTCATTTAAGATACAATGAGAAATTTTAGAATCTAAAAAAACTTCTACTTTATTCGTTTCATCAAAGAAATAATAAACTTATAGCGTATTTATGGATAATACAAGTGCTGTAATCTTACGTACTCTTACTTCACTTAATTCCATAAGACAAAATTTAGGCGTATTTATGGATAACACAACGTGCTGTAATCTTACGTACTCTTACTTCACTTAATTCAATAAGACAAAATTTAGTAAAAACTTTTTACTTTGCTGTCATAGAGATGTGAGGGATATGTTTTAAACTTTACTGTTAGCATCAAGTATTATTAACTTAAAGAAAATGATGAATAGAAAATTTAAAATCGAAATAATACAAATATTACTTTAAATTATAATAATATTTAGCAATTGAAACTTTGGTTTTTAGCAAATACTGAAAAATGTTGAATGCTAAGAAAATAAGCAAACATTTACTAAAGGCGCAGAATAATTAAAGTAAGTTATTAAGTAAGATAGAAGGATTAATTATCATCTCAACTCATCAATCACTGAATACTAGTAATTATTCTTAATTGTTCAAAGTTTCAAAAATATAAACAAACAAAATGGTAAGTACTGACTGAATTAGTACAACGATAAATTACAGAATGATTTTTTTCAGAGAATAAAACTAAAGCAAATGAATTTGCTTTCTACATTTCTGTAATTAGTTCAAATTTTGTAGTGTTTACCTAATTTTTCTGTCTATTTTTAGAAGACAAACAATTAAGAGTAAAAATTTAAAAAGTAAAAATTATGAAAGTTTCAATCTTCGTTAATTATTTTCACATTCTTTAATACACTTCTCTCAACGAATCAGTACTCATTTACTTGAGAATAGAAAAGGGCCTTCACCCTTAGCATCTTACTTCAATTTGTTCAGTCAGTAATCGTCCTCAATAATTTTTGAAACTTCAGTTTGCAAAAGTCAAGGCCAATTTGCAAGAATCGCTTAGTTTTTTTCTTGAACCCACAAAATTCCATTTTTGTGTTCATTGCTGTCATTATTTATCTTTCTTACAATATCAAAATCAGTAATTAAAATTAAGATCAAAGGTTAGGTGCAGAATTGTTCGAACTTGGTCCAATTTTGATAACATGAGTCCTTATCCTTAAGGTATAAACGGGACTCTTAAGAAAACTCTTGAAATGAATATCTGTTTTCTAAACATTTCAATTATCAGAAGCAATAATTTCTACACAAATTATGCACTAATTAAATTATAATCTGATTATGCTTTACCCTCATATTTATGCATCTGTGCTTATATTAACTTTAATTTTCTAATTACACAGAAATGAGAACTTTATTTGAGCAATTTTTTACTGCAAAAGCATTGCAACAATAATAAATTATACGAAATCAATAGTAACGACGAAATAATAATGAACCAAATTTGCATAAACAATAATCTATTATTTTATCATCCCAGGATTAACCTTTAACCTTTAGTAACTAGCTCAAGTAATAACTACATCACTTAATGAAGTAGCAAACAAAAAGTACTCTTTATCGTATTTAGTGTTATTTGTTATTTTTACTGCAATACTGAAAAACTTAAAAATAATTAATCAAAATTTTTATGAAAATTTAACAACACAATTGAATTTGTACTCAAACAAAGTCACTATCTAAAATGTACTACATAACTATATAATTTATAAGAGGATGATAAAAAACAAAATAATTCTAACATTTATATTCAAACAGTAAAGCACAGCAGGATAAAAACAGCACTTCAGAAAGCCATAAACTTAATCAGTAATCAAAAGCGCAATAAGGAAAAGTGAAAGTTGATTGACTTGAGCAATACTAAATATCGAACTTAAATTTAAGAGAAACATTTTGGCATTAATAATCATAAACAATTGTGAAAACAACTCGTTTTGAAAATTTCACTCCATTTTTCGGACTAATAATGTGAATAAATTTAAAAATTTAATACTCGAGGAATAAAAAAATTTAATCCTAATTAATCTGACCTGAACAAATGCTTTAGATTATAGCTGCACTTCACATGTAATGATAACATTACATTCACGACTTTTTGACTTATTTAAATTTATAAAGTAAATAATTGTTGAATTAAATCTTTAAAACGACACATCCTTACAATTTCAGCTTTGCAAAAATACAATAACACTTTGACATTACTTTAAGAAATAGAATGGATGAGATAAAATGCAAACAAAAGATTTCCCGTTCGCTTCTGCTTAATTAATAAATATATATGTGGAAAACAAGAAAACAAAGTGCATAGATAGATAAATAAATAAATAAATAAATAAAATAAAATAAATATTAAATTTTTATACAACTAGTGAGTCATCACTTTCATACTCATCGTCATTTTGCAAAGTAATTGTAGTTGTGATGGATGACTGCGGTGTTTCCGTCAGTGGTCGAAACTTTGTATTATTATTATTATTATTATTATTATTCATTTTGATATCCGGTGAATTCATGTGATTGTCAATTTTGTTAGAATGAGCAGACAATGCTGGCGACTGTGAAGATGTACTCGTAGCTTCTAATAAAGGTGCCAAAGATGGACGACGTTTACGGAAACTTGGACAACCCTTAAAAATATCAGTATGCCTCAAAGTAATAAGCCTTCACTAACATCATTTCATTTCAGGATTTATAGCTACAGAACATTAGTTACTTTCAATTGTGTATCAAACCAGTATAATTATGCAGTTGCAAGAAATCATTCAGAAATTATACCAAAGAATGTTCATTTTGATATAATTTTACAGTTTAAGGCTATTAAAGTTTTTACTGTAAAAACTAAAATTTCATTCAGCGTCTACATATTGATAAGAATGCAAAACAGCAAAATGTAAACAAAGAAGTAGCTTAAACTAGTCGAAGAGAAAACAAAAATGTGCACTAAACAACGATGTTGCATTCACAATAAAAGCAGGATACAATAGCACCCCTAATTATTTTGATTCCAAGCAATAAAATTACCTGTCCATCAAAATCGAAAAAGTGACGGAAAGTAAATTCATAAAATGCAGGATTGAATGAAGCTGAAGCACTTGCACGCTTTGCCATAGTATCAAACGTCTGATCAGAAGAATCAAACTCAAAAGTGTCAAAATTTGATGTATCCTCAGGATGCTCCACACGTGGAATATATTCCGCACGTGTAGAACGTAATGACGTAAAATCAATACCCTAAAAAAGCAGAGTTTTAACTTTGTTACAGAATTAACCTAATCTTAATTCAATATTTTATTCAATAGTCATAAGAAACTTGAAACTGTAATGTAAGTAATGTTAGAAAATAAACCTTGAACCATGCATGAGTTTTCAAGTCTTCTGCTCCATTTCTACAACCGAGTCTTTCCTCCTGTTCACAGCACAATTGTCGAATTACATCAATACATTCCTTTGTTAATTTTGCGCCTATACGATTACTTAAATCAAGGTAATGTCGCCACTTGATAATCTGAAAATATTCTTATTCCGGTGTAAGTATAAAATTAAAATATGACCAACAAATACTGACATATGAAATCCACTTGTTTTATTATTTAAAAGCGTGAAATTTTTTTTTCTACTCATACAAATTAGATGCAGCAAAAAATCTACTTTGTACTGTGTCTCATAACGATCTTTAGAAAGAAAAGGCGGTCGACCAAAAACCATTTCGTATAGAATAACTCCTACTGACCACCAGTCACAAAGTTGAGTGTGACCTATAACAACAACTTTATATGTATACAAATTATTTAAGCCAATCAAATGGGGACTATTTTACACTTAAATTTATTAAATTATTTTTGTTTTTATCTCGAAATTCTGTGTCATGCTTAAAAAAATACAAAATTTTTAAATTAATGATAACCTTACCAGTTCCTCTTATAACCTCTGGTGCCATATAATTGTCTGTTCCTACTAACGAATGAGACTGATTCCGCTTACAATGGTTTCTGATGTCAAGTACTTTGGGTCGTCCTGGCATGTTTGGATGTGCAAGCAAATATTCTTTTTGCGCATCTGTGTTTTCTACCTGACATAAACAAATTTTTGAATAAATAAATGAAATGAAAAATTTGATGAATGTTTAACTGAAACAGTCTATATTACATATCAGCAACTAGCTCAGATTGAAAATTGTATACAAAAATGTTTTGAAAAGTTTCACAGATTCAGGTAAACAATTACAGTTCTCTAATAGTGATGTGCGTCGAAATGAATATCAGAAACTTGTAGAGGGGAAAAAAATGCTTTCATACTATTTTTATGAATACAAGCATTAAGGATGACAAACGCATTATTTAATACTATTCGAAATATATTTCTAAAAAATTGCTAAAGACTATTTTAATCAAATACGAGTTCAGTGATAAATTTTTGATAAATTCATTTTGCAAAAAAAAGTATAAAGAGAAACTTCATCATTTTCAGGTCCATAATATCGCTTATCATGTGTCCATCGTAAACCAGTACATAAACCAAAATCAGTTAGTTTAATATGACCATTTTGATCGATCAATATATTATCTGGTTTAATATCTCGATGAATGAAACCAAGACCATGAACATATTCAATAGCACATGTTAACTCAGCAATATAAAACCTGAAAAGCTCATCATCAGTCTCCTAAGATTTTTTTCATGCTTTTAATGCTTTAATGCTTAGCACATGCTTCTATAAATGTTTTCATTAGCAAAAGAGTACAAATAAATCGTGCACAATTTTTGAATAAACGAAAACTTTTCTCTGAAATGAATGCTAACATAGCTAATTTTTCGTAAAATATCCCTTTGTTAATTAAAAGTTGCATCATGTCACCACCAGGAACATATTCCATTATCAAATATAATGACCGTTCATCCTAAATTCTTATTATAATTCAATAAAAGTATAATTCAATCGTTTAAATTTATTTATTTTTAAGCAAGTAATAAGAGCTATAAAAAATGCATTACATGAAGTAAACCAAATGTAAAATAAAAGAGAAGCCAAAAATCTAAGATTAAAAACAAATTTTTTAGTAGACAAAGCTATCTGAAATCTACACAATGGCTAATTATTTATTTAACTGAAGTGTAATAATAATTGTAAAAATTGTTACTGTTCTGCATAATACAACTCAAAATAAAATATACCTGAAATGAATAATACAATTTAACAATCCATTGGCTATCAGCTTCTGCAAGGATATCACGTTCAGCTTTCACGTGTGCTGCTTGCTGTTTCATTATTACATCTTTTTTCAACAATTTTTTCATTGCATATACTTGACCAGTATCTTTCTGCAAATCACTTCATAATAATAAAGAATAATAAATCAAGTTTTTATCTCCATAAAATTCATGAGAAATTTATCAAAAAAAAAAAAAATGAAGAAAACATTTTATGCATGTATACATGGCAAATATTTGAACCTTTTTGACAAGTGACACACGTCCAAATGCTCCGAAACCAATATGTTTTACTACTTCAAACATGTTTTTGTTCATTTTTTGTCGTTTTAATCGCAAATATCGTGATTCCTTCTGAGTTAGAAATATCATCATATGTTCACGCATACTTTCTGGTAAATCAGCACATTCCATTTCTTTGGCGAGCTATTAAAAGAAATTTAATATTAATGCATGTTCTATTTTTCACAATATTATTCTCCTTTTTTGTCTCAGACATCGCACTTTCAAATTACTAAATGATACAAATTGAAATTGACAAAGATAACTGAAAGAAGCAACTTTCTCTCAAATATATGATTCATCTACTTTAACTTATAGTTGTGTTCTACAAGTAACGATTCATTTATGATTCTATCAAACGAATTGTTCTCTTACTATTTGAATCTTATTTATTTAGTTTTACAGAGTTTTTTTTCTTCATTAATCATTCCAAATCGTTCACAATTTCATTCTTTAATATGGCAAAAAAAAAAATTAACAAACTTGTTGTGCACGCTGTTGTCTTTCCTTGTATTGTTGTAATAATCGTTCTACATGTTGTTCCATATAAAAACAAAAAAGGCGAGGTTTACATGGTTTTATTACCGATTCATACGTATTTGTACGTAACTTACGCAAGATATTTTCAGGCAAAGGTGATGCACAACGTACAACTTCTTCATTTTCTTCGTTACTGTAAAAAAATTATAAATAAAAACATTGTACTATGCCTTAAGTAAATTTTTGTTTTCATTTTTTTTTTGGAAAAAATATCAAATAAAATTTTTTCAATGAATTAAATTTGACAAGAAAACTGCAAAATTCAAGGTGATTCTCAAAACTGAAAAAAAATGCAGAATACAGAAGTGAATTTCAGCACTTAAGTGAGAGATGAAAGTAACTGAAGAGAAAGAAGATGCAACTGTTTAAAGTACTGGAATGCAAAAAATTCAAGTTCAGTCATCATCCATGAGTAATTACAACTGTTTATCTTTAAAGAATGCATAAAAATTTGCTGCAATTCTGAACAAAACTCTTATCACATCTTTTATCATCTCTTACAATTTGAATTTATTATTTCCTCTAATATCATAAGCCTATATTTGCTTTCAATATCATTCCATCATAAATATAAGCTAACTATTGCTAGCACTAATATTTACTATCGTTATCACTTTAACAATTTCAGAAAAAAAAGTTTCCAAAATTAAATTGAAAATAAATACACAATCATTTATAAACATCATATTTATACAATCTCACTTTAATATTTTCCATTTCTCCAACATCAAAAAATGCAGAATTTCAAATGTGAAACACATCAATTTTTCAAATTTTTCTTTGGCACTCTCATAGTTCTTTCAGTTCTGAAACAATTTCATCAAACAGTAATAATACTGTTTAATAATGAATGCTGATAAACTTCAAAACTTGGTTTTTTGAACTCAAAAAATGAATGAAAGTTACCGACGTTATTTGAAGCCATGAACAGCTTACATTTTAGAGGAAGTATTCGATGAAATCGAATTTGATGTTGCAGCAGTTGGAGCTCGATTATGAGTGTCCTTTGAATCAGTATGTGCATTTGATAACGTTGAATCTTGTTCAGAGACTGATACCAAATTTGTTCGCCGACATAACTGCACAAATAAACAAATTGCATTTTGTGTATTAAATAAGTGACTTTATTCAAATGATCACGTTGATGCTGATTCAATCAAAATTTTTTAGGAAAAAAACAATTGTAAATAGATACAAATATTCAAATTCACTGGAAAAATTAAAATCTAAAAAATACATGTAAAAACTACAATAAAAAGGAATAAAAACTATGGAGGAAAAAAAGAACAGAAATTTTTAATTTAAAATAAAATATTATAGCAATTTACAATATTTCTAAAGCTTATTTGAACATATTTAAATGCCTGCTTCTATACACTTCTCCAGAACAATAATTCACCTGCTCAACATATGTGGTATAAGATGAAGAAGGTTTATCTGGATCAACTAATATTCGTTGCACATTATTTGTTGTTGGTAAGTTTCCTGTGTGTGTTGATACCAATTCAATCGTTTCTTCATCAAGTTCATTCATCGAATATTTGTTATAACGAATTGGATCAGCTTTCTAAAAAATCATTATACTGCCACACATGCTAATATCTTTACTGTTTTCAAACACTATTAAAGTTTTTTTTTAAACTAATTTTTTTTAACTATTCGTAATGCACTCCAGTTTATTTGCTGAGAAATTTCAATTTTTATAAATATTTGCTTTTAATCAGAGATAATGCAGTGAAGTCATTGACAAATTATAAAATTTCAACGAGAAATTTATCAGATTTTACATTTTATTTAAAATAAAATAATACTAGTTCTTTCATCAGACATTAGTATTGAACAAAGTTTTGTTTTTCATACCATTACATATAATGACTCCGGTGCATTCAATATTATTGCATTTATTGGTTTTTCCAGTCGTGTCCTTATTACTGGTATTGTATCTGGTCGTCTCAACCCAACATTACTACCATTTATGTAGGATCGAGACACCAATGACTGTTTTGATCTTAATAATTAATTATTCACCTCTTGATTCTACTTGGAAATTATTCCAAAAACCAAATATTTTTACTTGAATTTAATGCAGTCATTTTTTGTTATATTTAATTTTTACTCATGAAGCAACCAAATTCAAAAATTCGAAATTTTACTCACTTAGTTATACGATCACCGGTACATCCTTGCAACCCTTCAATAGTTATAATAGCAGAAGCTTGCTGCGTTGTTGGTCGATCAACTTTACGACTACGTGCTAAAGCCGATAACGATGAACCTGTCGCAATGGCAGGAGAACTTTGCGATGGCGGTGTCGGTAACGCATAGTCAAAATTATTTACCGCTGTTTTGATCGAATTGTTATAGCAAAATTTTGATGAATCTCTACAAAATAAATATAAAATAAAAACAGATACATATTTCAGTAAAATAACTCATGAAAAATGTGAGAAACGAAACAGCAAAATATAAATCACTCTACATTCAAGACACAAAATACAACTGGAATATTTGTAGAAAAAGTAAGAATGCTTAATTATTCATTGAAAACTCTCATTTTTGCAAACCAATTATAAAGTAAATGTAATCGTGAAATTTTCAATATCCTTTCACTAAGTACTAATTTTTTAGCACAACTAAATAATCTTAAATAACAAAAGCTATATATTTCCAATAATTATAAGTTAAAATATTCAGTTATACATATAAAAATAAAATAAAATATTTCTGATACTATTCATTATAAATTATTTTATCGAACAAAAATAAAAGACTTTCAAAAATTGGGAAGAAAGATAAACTAACACAGATAAATGCGTAAGAGTTCGATGATAATCAGCAGTTTGTTGATAAGTGTTGTTTTTGATCTGGAACGATGGGCTTGTCGAACTTACCCTTAAATTGAAAAAAGAAGGCAAAAAATTAGTAAGGGATTTTCGAATGATTAAAAATTTTTGAATATATTACAAGCCATTATGATCTTTAAAAAAATTACAACAAAATAGACGGTTCTGAAAATAATCATTTGAATAAGTTAATCCAAATACAACTTCAGAATGAAAAAGTATATTTACTGAAATGAAGAAGGAGCCGTTGATGGACTTGGTATTCTAGTCAGAGGACTGTTGGACCGACTTGAAGAACTGTCATCAACATTTGTCAGTATAGATGCCGTTGTCAACTGAGCATTGACCATTACATTTGATACTGCCAAAGCTCCAGATGTCTGACCATTGTTTAACTGACTTGATGGTACCATTGATAATTTTGTATTATTATACATTACGGTATTAATACTGTTACTGTTATTGCTACTGTATAAGAAAGATGCTGAAGATGTTGCTGTTCCCTGCAAAGTTCCGCCATAGTCGTGTAAATCCTACAAAAATCATATAATAAAATTGGTTATATTACAGTATTTAGCATACAACAAACAATTTAAAAGGACTTAATAGCTAAAGTCTAAATATTGTATAAATTTATAAAACTTAGAAAACAATATTTGTACTGTAATTAAATATTAAATGAAAATTAGATTTAAAAATAAATTTAAAAAAGTGTTGAAAGAAAAAAAACCTGTCGAAAGACATGTTCTTTGTTGAGATTCAATAAAACTTCTGCAGCTGCTGCAACACTTGAATATCGAACTAATTCAAGAGCCAGAAGAGCTGCTTGCTAAATACAATGATTTAATAGATTACAGAAATGTAACAACTTTTTCATTTCTTAAACTATTACGGAGAAATTACTACTTGGATAATTTCATTTAATTTGAGAAAAAAATCACCAACTTCTTCAAATCCTATTTGTGTCAATGTGTTGATCAAAATTTGCCGACGAGTTTCATCTTCAATTGTGAAGTTATTATTGTTTGATGATGTAGCTGCTGCTAATGATGTTGTTGCCGATAATTCTGTATTATTACTTTGTTCAAACGGACGTAAAGAATCTCGAATTTGTTCTAGCTTGTCTCGGTGCCTACCAACACCAACCCGTACATCCTTCAACAACAAAAATTCTTCTACAAATATTTAGCAGTACTTTCGTGTCATTAATATTTTAAAGTTTACAATGGAAGTGCTAAAAAGTTTAAAAAATTTACCAGTAGATATCGAAATACTGAAATAAACTGTAGACAAGATTCATTACATAATTAACATCTTGTAGTTGCATGTGCCAATAGCATCAAGAAAATATAAACAAAGTATGTGATTAAGTAAATTTTATATTAAAAACATACTGTAGTAGCATCTTTACGTATTCTTGGTGAAGGTTCTGGTGTTCTCAGCGATATACCCGCAACATTTGAGGGAGCACTTGAAGTTGTACTCGTTGAAATCTGCGCTGGACTACTAGTGCTTGCCAGCGCAGGTCGATGTGGTGGAAACATCAATTCCTTTTTGCCTATTCTAACAATTTAATTTTTATTTTATCAAAATAATTTGCAATAATCAAACAATCATTACAATGATTTTAATAATGAAAATAAAATCAGAATAAAAAATATACAGAACTGATTAAACATTGCTAACACGTAATATTTACCAAATAAAGCACAAAAAATCTATAATTAGAGAAAATTATTTGACGAATAACAAAATAACCACAACATTGACACAATAAATTTTGCTTACTGAAAAAATAAAAAACATAGTACAAAAGTATTTACAACAATTCTGTTCATCCAAAATCCTTTACTGCTTGATTATCAATTGATATTACTGTAAGTGAACAATGCGGAAAAATCAACAAAACTATTATGTGTGTGTGTATGCAACACATTACATAATATGGCTTTAATAATAAAAGCTATATTTATTAAAGTTATCTTACAAAAATTATTAATAAATCAAATATGCAAAATTATAAGTAATTATTTGTGCTCATAAAAGATCAATTTACTCAATGAAATTTTTTGCCAATGAAAAATGACAACAACAAAAAATACAAAGATAAATAAATAAAATATGACATTTTTTCATTTTTTTCTTTTGTAATTAATCGCACTAACAGTTTTGATATTAAAAAAACCAAAAAATAAAATAGTTAGAAATTATTTAATTAAGACTAAAAATAATGATAATAACAATAATTAGATAGCTGCT